AGAGAAGAGAAGTCAACACCCACCAACTCATTTTAAGAACATTACACTGATACCAAGCCAGATGAGAACACTACAAGAAAAGAAAGCTACAGGCCAATATACCTGAGGAATATAGACAAAAAAATTCTCAACAAAACATTAGCAAACCAAACTCAACAGCACATTAAAAGGATCATACACAATGACCAAGTGGGATTTATCCATGGGTTGCAAAAATGGGCTCAACATGCACAAGTCAATAAACATGTTATTCGACATTAATAGAATAAAGGATACAAATCATATGATCCAGGGGCGCCAGGGTGGCTCAGTTGGTTAAGTGACTGCCTTTGGCTCAGGTCGTGATCCTGGAGTCCCAGGATTGAGTCCCACATCACATCTCCTGCTCGACAGGGAGTCTGCTTTTCCCTCTGACCCTCCCCCTTCTCGTGCTCTCTCTCTCAAATAAATAAATAAAATCTTAAAAAAAAAAAAAAACAAACAATATGATTCACTCAATAGATGCAGAAAAAGCATCCGGCAAAACTCAACACCAACATTCATGATAAAAACTCTCAACAAATTGAGTATAGAAGGAACATACTTCAACATAATAAAGGCCATCTATGACAAGTCCATCACTAACATTACAGTCAATGGTGAAGAGCTAAATGCTTTTCCTTCAAAATCAGCAATAAGACAAGGATGCCACTTACACCACTCCTAATCAATGTAGGACTGGAAATTCTAGCTAGAGAAATTAGGCAAGAAAAGGAAATAAAGTCATCCAAACAGGAAAGGAAGAAGTAAAATGGTCTGTTTGCAAAATGACATGATCTTCTCTACAAAAAACTCTAAAACTCCATACAAAAACTGTCAGAACTAATCAACAAATTCGGTGAAATTTTGCACTACAAAATCAACATACAAAAATCAGTTGCATCTCTATATATTAATAAGCTATGTGAAAAAGAAATAAAACAATTTCATTAACAATAGCATCAAAGACAATAAAATACTTAGAAATAAATTAAACCAAGGAGGTGAAAGGTCTGTCCACTGAATACTGTAAGACATCGATTAAATAAACTGAAGAAGACACAAATAAATGGAAAGATATCCTGTGCTCATGGATCAGAAGAATTGTTATAATGTCCATACTACCCAAAGACATCTTTGGATTCAACGCAATCCCTATCCAAATTCCAATATCATTTTTCACAGAAATAGAAAAAAAACACTAAAATCTGTATGCAACTTCAAAGGCCCCCAAAGAGCCAAAGCAATCTTAAGAAAGAACAAAGCTGGAAGCATCACACTCCCTGATTTCAAACTATGTTACAAAGATATAGCAATCAAGATACTATGATACTGGCATGAAAACAGACACACAGACCAACGGAACAGAATTAAGAACTCACAAATAAACCATGTATATACAGTCAACTAATATCTGGAAAAGGAGGGGGCACATGGGTAACTCAGTGGGTTAAGCCTCTGCCTTTGGCTTAGGTCATGATATCAGGATCTTGGAATCAAGCCCTGCATGGGGCTTCCTGCTCAGCAGGAGTCTGCTTCTCCCTCTCACTTTCCCTCTGTGCTCTCCCTGCCTCTATCAAATAAATAAATAAAATCTTTTAAAAGATAGTTGGAAATGGAGGCAAGAATACTCAATGCAGAAAGAATAGTCTCTTCAATAAGTGGTGCTGGGAAAACTGGATATCCACATGTAAAAGAATGAAACTGGACCCCTACCTTACACTACTCAGAAAAATTAACTCAAAATGGATTAAATGCTTAAAATACAATGCCTGAAACCATAAAACTCCTAGGAGAAAACAGGGGAAGACCTCCTTGATACTGGTCTTTGCAACAATTTTTTTGGTTACAATACCCAAATCACAAGCAACAAATGCAAAACTAAATTAGTGAGGCCACACTGAACTAAAAAAGCTTCTGCACAGAAAAAAAAATCAAAAAAAAAAAAGAAAAAATCAACAAAATGAAGAGGCATTCTGTAGAATGGAAGAAACTACCTGCAAACCATATATCCAATAACGTGTTAATATCCGAAGTATATAAGGAATTCAATACAAATGAATAGCAAAAAGTCTAATAATTCATGTTAAAAACAGGCAGAGGGTGTGAATATATTTCCAAAAACATACAAATGACCAAAAAGTTCATGGAAAGACGCTCAACATCACTAATCATCAGGGAAATGCAAATCAAAACCACAGAGATATCACCTCACATCTATCAGGATAGCTAATATTGAAAAGATAAAACATAACAATTATTGGTAAGAATGTGGAGAAAAAGCAACCTTTGAGCACTACTGGTGGGAACATAAATTAGTACAACCACTGTGGAAAACGGTATGGAAGTTCCTCAAAAAATTAAAAATAGAAGTACCATATAATCCAGTAATTCCACTACTGGATATTTATCTAAAGGAAACAAAAATATTAATTAAAAAATATACATGCACCCCTATGTGTACAGCTGAATAGTTTACAATGGCCAAGATATACTAGCAACCCAAGTGTCCATATACAGAGGAATGGATAAAAAAGTGAGATACACACACACACGTATGTGTGCAATGGAATACTACTCACCCATAAGAAAGAATGAGGTCCTGCCATTTGTGACAACATGGATAAATCTAAGGGGTACTAATGGGACTGGAATAAGTCAGAGACGGAAAGGCAAATATGTGTTTTCACTTAGATATGCAATCTGGAAAAAAGAAAAAAAAACACAAAAAAACCAGACTCTTAAATACAGAGACCAACCTAGTGGTTGCTGGGGTAGGGGTGCAGTGAGGGTGGGGAATACAAGAAAGAGATTAAGAGGTTCAAACATCCAGTTATAAAATAAATGAGGGGATGCCTGAGTGGCTCGGTTGGTTGAGTGTCCAACTCTTGGTTTCGGCTCAGGTCATGATCTCCTTGGCTGGGGGATCAAGCCCCACATTGGCCTCCAAGCTTAGTGGGAAATCTGCTTGAGATTCTCTCTCTTTCCCTCTCCCTCTGCTTGCTCATGCACTCTCTCTCTCTCTAAATACATTTTTCTTAAAAAATTGTCAGAGAAGGGAGTTGGGGGAAATTGGAAGGGGAGGTAAACAATGAGAGACTATGGACTCTGAAAAACAATCTGAAGGGTTTGAAGAGGTGGGGGGATGGGAGGTTGGGGGATCTAGGTGGTGGGTATTAGAGAGGGCACGGATTGCATGGAGCACTGGGTGTGGTACAAAAACAACGAATACTGTTATGCTGAAAATAAATTTAAAAAATGTTTTAAAAAAATTGTCAGAGGAATGGATATATTTTTTAAATCATTATGTGTCATATATATATATATATGTGTGTATATATACATATATATATATCTCATTATGTTATATACCAGAAAATAATATAACATTGTACATCAATTATTATTCAGTAATAATTTTTTTAAATGGGTATATAGGGGTAGCTGGCTGGGCCACTCAGTAGAGCATGGGACTCAATTTCAGGGTCATGAGTTTGAGCCCCACATTGGGCACTGAGTTTCAACCCTTTAAAAAATAATTTTTAAAAAATGTGGTGTATATATATATATGCAATGGAATATTATTTAGTCATAAAAAAAGAACTGCTGCCGTTTATGACACCATGGATGGACCTTGAGTACCATGCTGAGTAAATAAGAGAAAAACAAATACCGAGAAAACAGAAAAAAGAGAAAAACAAAAAAAAAATCTTATTATATGTAAAAATCTTTAAAAAGTCCAATCACAGAAACAGAGAATAGAATGGTTGTTGCTAGGGGCCAGGAGCGGAGGAAATAGGGAGATGTTGCCCAAAGGATACAAACTTCCAGTTATAAGGTGAATAAGTTCTGGGGATTTAATATACAGCATATTAAATATAACAATAGTGTATTATATACTTAAAAGTTGCTAAGAGAGTAAATCTTAAATGTTCTTACTACAAAAAAAAATAGTACTTATACAGGGTGACAGATGTGCTACCTTCCTAAACTTATTGTGGTAGACACTTTAAATTATATACACATATCAAACCATCATGTTTGTAGACGTAAAACTTAAGCAATGTTATATGTCCGTTATATCTCAATAAAGCTGGGAGAAGAAGTAGTAAAAAAATAAAACTAAAGTATAAAAAAGATAACATAAAATACAAAAAAAATATAGAAAATCATGCTCTTGTGTAATTACGTTAAAAATGAAAACATTTCCATTTTTTAAATTAAGTGAAATTATAATGCTGTATATTGTGTTCAAAGTCTCTCTTGGTAAGCCTGGGTGGCTCAGTAGGTTAAACATCTGCCTTCACTCAGGTGGAGGGCATCAGGCATGGAGCCGCTTGTTCAGCAGGGAGCCCTCTCCTCCCTCTGCCTGCCACTTCCCCTGCTTGTGCTGCACACGCACACTCTCTCTCTTTCTGACAAATAAATAAATAAGATCTTAAAAAAAAAACAAAAAAGTCTCTCACCTTGTTCCATTATATTTACTAATTACATTTAGTCCTCCAAACGAGATTATTTTAATAATAATGAAATAAACCCATACAATGGCTTTCTCCATCAGAATGTAACTATATTAGCTCTCTGAAAATGAGAAGTTTCATATAAAATCCCCTTCAAAAGTCAATACTCCAAATTTTTCATAAGCTAATTCTAGAGCTAACTATTCCTCCAGATATTTACCTACAACAATTCAATTAAAAGGACCATTAGTTGAAGCACTCTGCTATAACAATTCCTATTGATAAACTGTTTCTATCTAAGGACATCACTAAACATAGCCAGGGTGGTAGAGCTTTATAACAAATAGGTAGGCCTCCAAAGAGTCCAAAACACGGGATATACTTTAAAAACAAAAAACTCCCCCAATGTACAAAGTTTCTGCATTTTTCAAGTAACATTTTTACTACATGTATCCTATTATATTAAATAATTTAACTGATAAACTTAATATATGTACTGTTAAGTTAATGTATGTACTGTACTTGTCTTTTTCAATAGTTTCTTGACAAATAGTAAATTGGTCCTGCATATAGTCTTCATGCTTATGAAAAACATCACATGTTGGCTTCCAGCTATGGAAAAAAAATATTGTAATTAGAATCTCAGAATGATAAATTGTAAGAGATAATAAAATTGAATTTCATTATTTAAAGATAAATGAATCTTGCTCTTCCTGGAGAAAACAAGCTTATAACAAGAAAATATTCCCACCTCCCATCATCACCACTACCATGATTTAGGCAATCATACATATACTCAAATATCAATATCCATTAATTTTTACATAAAACCCATTGTGGTTCCATGACTAAGGAAGGAGCAAGTATTACATGGCTAGATGATGTATCACTATGGTATTTCTAGAATATACTGTGCGACACTGCAACATCAGGCTTCCTTCTCATCATACTTCTAACATCTTGACTAAGAAATTCTTTTGGAATAAGGATTCAAAGAACTAGAATAAGAAATAAAAAGAGGCTTTTCCTCCTTTAAAACTTAGAAAGTCAGGTTGCTATACCCTCCTGAACTAGAAAGAAACTAGGCAAAAATGAGTTATAAAATCAGATAGTAAGAATGAAATGAACAGTTATATATTTTTTGTTTTATTACAAGACTTGAGAAATCTTACCAAATATGAAAAATCTAAAATTTGCATATACCATGTGAGCTTCTATTCTAAGTGTTGTTCAACTATTTCCTCAAGCTTTTTCCAAATCTTTAAAATATCATTTTCAAATTCAAAAAGTTCACATGCCCACTTTGGAAGCACAGAAAAGCATATGTAAGGAAATAATTATCATCCATATTCTCAACACTGAATAATAACTACTACTATTGTTTTAATAAACAATATTTCCAGATTTTATTATAAGTATATATTTAACATCTTTTTTTAAAAGTTTATTTATTTGAGGGAGTGAGAAAGAGTGGGGAAGGGGCAGACAGAGAAAGAATCTTAAGTGGACTCGGCATTGAGTGCAGAGCCCTATGCAAGGCTCTATCTCACCACCGAGCTGAAACCAAGAGCTGGATGCTTAACTGACTGCGCCATCCAGGTACCCAATATTTAATATCTTTGAGATCATATTCATATATATAACAATGTATCCTCCTTTAGCATCCACTTTTAAATTATACACATTTTCCTTGTCACTAAGAATTCATTGCAAAGGATTTAATAAATACATCACATTCCATAATTTATCTAAGCATTCCCATATTATTGACCATTTTTGCTTAATTTAAGTTTTTCTATTGTAATAGAACTTTTACTTAAATATTTGTCTGAATTTCTAATCATTTCCTTAGAAAACATTCTCCAAAATGGAATTAAAGGTCAAAGGTTATACATACACATATTCTGAGTATTCTAAAAATTCTGTAAGAAATACATGTTCACTAAAAAGCTATTCCCTGTAAGCATTTTGATGTATATATTCCTAGATTATTTCTAATTATATATAAATACACAATTACTAAATTGGTTTCATACTATGAATGTTGTTTTATTCCATTTTTCAGTTTGGAATATACATCTTTCCATGACAACAGAAAGCTAACATCTTTCCATGTCAATAAACAGACACTTATAATTTTATTGTTCACCTACTGTTCATTCACATGCATATACCAAAATTCATTTAACCCATCACTTAATGTTGAACATTAGAGTTCTTTTCAATGTTTTCCTATCATAAAAAAGGCTGAAATAAATACCCTACTGTACATTACATCTTTAAGAAAATGCCCAATTATTTCCTTAATGAAAAATTCTCAGAAAAGGAAACTTTTAATCAAAAGTCATGCTTATTTTTAAAGCTTTTTTAAAAAATATACTGACGTGTCACCCAAAAGGTTTACCAGCATTCCTTACTATAGTGTACATGATTAAATGACTTATTCCCTGGCCAACACAGGATATCATCTTCCTTTTAATTTCTGCAAAACTTAAAGGCAAAAAAGAGCATTTTATTATCGCTTTAATTTGGATGTCTGATTACCAGTAAGATTGGGCATTTGTTCACATGTTTGTTAAATATATATTTCTTCATGTTGGTGTTTACCTATTTTCTTTGCCCATTTTTCTAGTGGGGCTTTTCCTTTTTCTTATTAGTTTCCACAAGTACTTTATATTTTTATTGTTTTTATTTTTGTTAAAGATTTTATTTATTTATTTGAGAGAGAGAAAGCAAGCACAAGCAGGCGGAACAGGCCGAGGGAGAGGGAGAAGCAGGCTCCCTGCTGAGCAGAGAGCCCAATTTGGGGGGTCAATCGCAGGACCCTGGGACCATCACCTGAGCCAAAGACAGACGTTCAACCCCACACTTAACCTAGGTGCCCCTACTTTATATGTTTAAAAACTAACCCTTACTTGACATTTTTTCTACTTTATCCTTTTGCCTTTTACATCATTTGGGGGCATTTTTCTTTTTGTGTGTAGTCATATTTATCCATTGATTCCTCTGCAGTTTCTACTTTTGATGATACACTTACAAAGGCCTTCTACTCTCGGGGCACCTGGGTGGCTCAGTCATTAAGTGTCTGCTTTCGGCTTAGGTCATGATCCCAGGATCCTGGGATTGAGCCCCTGTATTGAGCGCCGCATCAAGCCCCACATCGAGCCCCCGCTCAGCGGAAAGCCTGCTTCTCCCTCTCCCCTACCCTTGGTTGTGTTCCCTCTCTGGCTGTGTCTCTCTGTCAAGTAAATATATAAAATCTTTTAAAAAAGAAAGAAAAAGAGGACATGGGGAGATGGAGAGGAGAAGGGAGTTGAGGGAAATTGGAAGGGGAAGTGAACCATGAGAGACTATGGACTCTGAAAAACAACCTGAGGGTCTTGAAGGGGCGGGGGGGGGGGGGGGGGGGGGGAAGGGGAAGAGGGGGGGGGGGATTAGGGAGGGCACATATCGCATGGAGCACTGGGTGTGGAAAAAAAAAAAAAAATAATGTTAAGAAAAAAAAAAAAAAAAAAAAAAAAAAGAAACACAAAAAAAAAAGAAAAAGAAAAAGACAACAGCCTTCTACTCTCAAAGATTACATGGTTATTTATATTTCTTTCAGTACTTTTATGAATTCATTTCCCACATTTAAATCTCTTAACCAGTATGCTGAAATCATGAATTAGAGGTATATTATGGTATTAAAATCCTACTAACTATCCTTGGAACCCAGCAGAGATTAAGCTTGAATGAAATAGTACATCTTAGATACAGCAGGTTCTAAGGGGAAACTACTTTTCCAGCACCCACTGCAATTAGTTGAAGGAAACCACTGGTAATACTGAACTGTGCTATCAGATTGACAAATAATTTAAACAAAAATTTAAACATAATTTCAGGGTTGTCAAGGGTATGAGGAAATAGGAACTTTCTCAGACACTGTTGGCAGAAGTATGACCTTATATAATCTTTTCATGGAAAGAAGTTTGGCATTACCTATCAAATGTTTAAATGTGCATACGCTTTGATGCAACAATTGCACTTCTAGAAGCTCATTCTATAGCAACAGGTCTATAAACATGGAAGGATACCTGCACATGTTGCTCATAGAAGGGAAAAACTAGAAACCCAAATGTTTATTAATAGGAGAATGGTTAAATAACTTAAGATACACCAATACTACAAAATTCTATGGAGTTGTTAAAGAATGATATCTATACATAATCACTACACATATAGTATCATTTACATAACATACCACTAAATTTTTTAAAAAATAGTAAGTACGGTATGATTCCATTTTGTAAAAAGAAAAAAGTTATATAGAGAGATGTACATATAAGTCTATGTAATAATGACACTGAATTTTTATTGAAAAATGTCTGATAAGATAGAATCATTAAAAATTATTTACTTCTAAGGAAGAGGATAGGGTTGAGGTAGGAACTACAGGCAGGGAATAACTTTTTACAGTACACATTTATAAAGGTTTTGAATTTTTATACTAGGTATCCATTACTTTTAGGCTAGATTCCCCTAGAAAAAAAATAAAATCTTAAAAACTCAAAGATGGAAATTATTTCAAATATATTTATCTAATAGAAATTTTATATACTGAGTCTATATTATTCAAGATTCTGTAGACTATGTGGGTCTGAATTAGAGAAATCTTACAGCACTTCTATTTTTCTTTTGATCTCCTATGATCCCTTTTTACCAAAGCATGTAGCAAGGCAAGTTAAAACCTGACTCATTATTTTGCTAATACAAAACATTACTTTAGGGGTGCCTGGGTGGCTCAACAGTTAAAGCCTCTGCCTTCGGCTCGGGTCATGATCCCAGGGTCCTGGGATCGAGCCCCGCATCAGGCTCTCTGCTCGGCCGGAAGCCTGCTTCCTCCTCTCTCTCTCTCTCTCTGCCTCCCTCACTGCCTGCTTGTGATCTCTGTCAAATAAATAAATAAATAAAATCTTAAAAAAAAAAAAAAACACTACTTTAAAGCAACAGTGTCTTCAATTATAAAATACTATAATTATAAATAACACAAACCTTGAATAAAAGATCTAGCGACAATTACTAGAAGTTCATTTCTTTCAAATACTCACTTACTACAGTTGTCTTTGATCTCCTTACTATGTTTACAGTAATGACCAATTTCCTCATCTGTTGTGTTTATAGTTTCATGTATCTTACAAATAGTTGCCTTGTTTTCTTTAATATCTTCGAGGCATTCTGGAAAGGAGAAATGTTTAAGATGAAAATCATAAATTCAAAATTAACAAATACAGAGGGAGAAGGGGCATAGCAACTTACCTAAAAGGAGGAGAGTTAGAGAACTGAAGGGAAGTGGGGCTTGAGATGGGAAGGCCCTATACTAAAAAGCACAGAACCAGAACCAGGCTTGCTCCTAGACCTAGAAGCAAAGGATTTGTGTTTGGAAGGGGAGATGTACACCTGAAACTATTATACTGTGTTAACTAATTGGAATTTAAATAAAAACAAGGAAGGAAGGAAGGAAGGGGGGGAGGGAGGGAGGGTTGGTTCCTGTCCATAATCTTTAACATAAGAGGGCTTGATTAAACGATACCTAGGATCAATGGCATCTTATGACAGTATGAGTTCATGTAAGCATTTAGTCATGTATGATACTGACTTGTTTCGGTTTTGACAAATGTAAAATTTCTCTTCATCAATTCCATGTCAATTAATTACTAAATACACATTCAACTCACTTGTTTTTTGTTACTAGTAAACAATACAAGATAAAAATAGAACTTCTTAAGTATTAAATTCTTTTTTTATTTTATCTGCATTCTTTTTTGTTGCAGAAAGGTAACCAAATTCTATCTTTTCAGAACTATCAAGAAATTAATGGTTCTATTTTATGATAGCTTTTATGTAGGATCTTAAAATACTATATTTATGTAATTTGCTTTCCCATTTCTCTCATAATATAATTTTTCAGAATTATTCCTGAAAATGGACATCCATCAGTCCTGGCACCTGACTTTTGGTGATGTTTAAAAAGATTTTAAAATTCACTCATGTGATCCAAAATCTATAAAGAACGTATCAACTCAACACCCAAAACCCAAATAATCCAGTTAAAAAATGAGAAGACACAAACAGACATTTTTCCAAAGAAGACATAGAGAGAGCTAACAAGACACATGAAAAGATGCTCTACATTACTTATCATCAGGGAAATACAAATCAAAACTACAATGAGATATCACCTTGCACCCACCACAATGGCTAAAATTAACAACAGATGTTGGTGAGGATGTGGAGAAAGAGAAACGTTCTTACATTATTCGTGGGAATGTAAACTGGTGCAGCCACTCTGGAAAATGGTATGGAGGCTCATCAAAAAGTTAAAAACAGAACTACTCTGTGATCCAGCAATTGCATTACAGGGTATTACCCAAAGGGTATAAAAATACTGATTGGAGGGGTGCCTGGGTGTCTCAGTCAGTTAAACATCCAATTCTTGATTTGATCTCAGGGAGGTGAGTTGGAGCCTTGGATCTGGCTCTGTGCTAAGTGAGGAGCCTGCTTAGGATTTTCTCTCTTCCTCTGCCCTACCCCCACACAAATGTTCTCTCCAAAAAACCAAAAACAAAACAAAAACCTGATTAGAAGGGGCACAGGCACTCTGATGTTCACAGCAGAATGATCAACAATAGACAAGTTATGGAAAGAGCCCAAATCTCCATCCACTGATGAATGGATAAAGAAGATGTGGTGTAGGGGCACCTGGATGGCACAGTCAGTTGGGCATCTGACTCTTGGTTTCAGCTTGGGCCCTGATCTCCATGTCCTGGGATCGAGCCCCCCCATCCAACTCCATACTCAGCATGGAGTCTGCTTGAGATTCTCTCTCTCTCTCCCTCTGATCCTCCCACTCATGTTCTCTCTCTTTCTCTCTTGCACTCAAATAAATAATCTTAAAAAAAAAAAGATGCAGAGCATACATACAATGGAATATCAGTCATGAAAAAGAGGAAATCTTGCCGTTTGCAACAAGGATGGTGCTAGAGAACATTATGCTAAGCAAAATAAGTCAGAGAAAGACAAATAACACAGTATTTCACTTATATGTGGAATTTAAGAAACAAAACAAATGAACATGGAGGAAAAAAAAGAGAGGGGGACAAACCATAAAACAGACTCTTAATGATAGAGAACAAACTAAGGCTTACTGGGGGTGTGGGGGGGTATGTGGGGGACAGGTTAAATGGGTGATGGGTATTAAGGAGGGTGCTTGTGATGAGCACCAGTGTTGTATGTAAGTGATGAATTGCTAAATCCTACACCTGAAATGAATATTACACTTCACGCTGAATAACTGGAATTTAAATAAAAATTTGAAACTATAAAAAAGCACAAATTTAAAATTCACTCATAGGTTTGAAAGAACCTGTTATCTGAGAAAAATAACATTTTCAACTGTGCTTAATTAAGGTGTTAGGTCTGCTTAAAGCAAAATTCTTCAACACAAAGTAACTAAATGCTAAATACAGAAATTTATTACTGAAAAGTCTTAGGGCAAACAGTCACTAGATAGATAAAACTAGAACAAAAGTTATAATCCCCACTATAAGTTACCCTAAACAAGGCAACTGCTTATTATCTTATATGCCATAAAACACTTAAAAGCTAGAATAACTTTATCATGCAAAACGACTTACTATTAATTCGTTGAAGCATATCTTCTTTAGTGCTTATATCTTGCTCATACTGGAAAACTAAAAAAAAAAAAGTAGTGACTTCACTTCATTATTAAAATATTAAATGATAATACAAATAGTTACTTATTTATTTTCATTTTATACCTACCAAATTCTAGCAAAAGTCTGTCCAAACTGACAAACAGGCTGTCATTCATCTTGGATACTATATTTAAAAAAAAAAAAATTGTAAGGAGAGATTTTCTGAAGTCCTATGCAAAACAGCATATATTCGTACGGAAACTAGGCATTATTTCAGAAGAATGTGGGGGGAGCAAGAACTGAGGAGGAGAGAGACCCCTTCAGCCCAGTACTGGGCACAGCCCTAGAAAGACACTTAATAAATACTTGCTCAATGTCACTGCAGGACCCAAGTATCTAGAGGTCGGAGGGAGCCTTAATAATCGTTTATACGTGGTATTGTAACACGTCACTGAATATTCTGGAGTGCAGAGACACCAAGATTTCTCAAAGGGATATGCCTTTAAAAACCATCTCTCTGAATATGCCCTTTCTCGGCGCGTGGACTACTACGCGCAGCAAGATTCCTAAAGAAAGTCCTTAACCAACACCAAAGGTAAAACAAAGCGAGAGTGCAATTTTACACTTAACGAATTTACCACCCAAAATGCAAAAAGTAAAAGTTTTCACAGGACTGCCAAGTCGCATTACAAAATACGCCCGAGGCGGGGTCGTTATTACTCGTCAGGCGCAGACTCGAGAAGCCACTCTTCCCGCCCGTTCTGAAGCACGAAGTTCGCTCACGACTAACACCCTCACAGCCGAGGCGCTTCTGCTCACCCGGATCCCTCCCCAACCCTCCAGCCAGGCGGCGGTGCCCACAGCTTGGCGCGGCTCTGGGGCCGAGGAGGAGGCCACGCGCCGACAAGCCCTCACGCGACCGCTGGTGGAACGCCAGAGACTGGGCCCACCAACCCCCCACATCGCTCAGAGCCGCCCGGGCAGGGCAGTAGGAATAACAGCCACGCACAGCTCCTTTACCCAGCCACCTCAAACTGCCCCTCCGGGACCCGAACGTTTCACGCCCTTCCTTGTCTGGGTCCCACAACTCGACTCAGGGTCTCGAGTTCGGGGTACGCCACGCAAAACCTGACACTGAAATGCGGCCGGGGGCCCGCTTCCGCCCCACCCAGCCCCGCGAGACCCCGCGAAACCCCGCGAAGCCGGCAGCGGGAGCTGCAGATCGCGCTGAAGAGCGAGATCGAACTCCCCGCGAGACCAGCGTTGAGGCAATCACCCCTTCCCGCTGGGCGAAGCGTGAACCAAGCACCCTAAAACCTTAGAGGTGGTGCTAGAATCAGAGAGCAGCCCTGAAAGGGGACGGAGCAGGAACCTCTCAGGGATTCTCCTATTGCCTTGAAGACAAATGTTGTCTTAAGAAGATTCATTCCTCTTGTAACTTAACAGTTTAAAGAAGTTATTTTCAGAGAACAGAAGTAAATTTGATATCGTAGCGTGAGAGGAAAAAGAATCAATCATCAGAATTCAATTTTGCATTCAGTATTTTCAAAACTTCTTAAAAAGCAAGCATAAGAATTCAAATACATTTTCATTCAACAAACATTCTGAGTGACTCATTTTAGTTTCAAATAAATTGCACATTAACATTTTTGTCCAAACGCTGCCTTTAGATAATTTGTGCTCTTAGAATTTGTCAGCATATCCAAAGTGAAAAAAAGGGCAGAGAAAAAATAATTTAAGCAAGTCAGCCCCCAAATTGCTTTATTAATATATTTGTGGTAAAGATTTTCAATACTAAATGATCTAAATAATTGCCTCAACTCATCACAACCTAAATTCACAGATTATTAAAATGAAAAAGAAATTTTGAGGTTTTTCTTGTTCAGATACCTCAGAGTATGTGTGCATAATTGACTTTATTATACTATGATGTAATATAATATACTATGAAGTAATGTTGCTCATTAGTATTAATGGTAGTAAGCCATCAAAACTAATTAAGTTTGATGGTGTAAGACATTTAACAGCTTTATTCTTATACGTGTTTATGATGTATTTGTTAACTAACCCCCTTTCAGGAAGGTGTAGGGGCATAAATATGAAGGTTACAGTTATTTAGTCTTGCTGGTACTACATTGCTATGACAATTTCATAGGTCAAAAGAATGGATTCAGTTCAACTTAACAGTAGATTTTCTTGTAAAAAATTGTGGAAACCTAGAAACATCACCTTACTGACACCTGAAAATTTATTTGCATTTAAATTCATATCTATGCATATCTTATTTTGTTAAGGTTTTATTTATTTATTTGACAGAGATCACAAGTGGGGGGGGGGAAGCAGGCTCCCTGCTGAGCAGACAGCCCGATGGCAGGGGCGGGGGTGGGGGGGTGTAGATCCCAGGACCCTGAGATCATGATCTGAGCCTCTGAGCCGAAGGTCACCCAGGTGTCCCAACATCTGTGCATATCTAATTACTCTCACAAAAATACAGCTGTGTTCTACCAAAACCACTGCCACAGATTCCATTCCAAAAAATCCCTTCTGGAAAGCAATAAAGATGAGAAGGTTCCAACAACTGGAGAATTTTAAATAACAAACTGTGTTCTTCCCTCTCTATCCCCCCAATGAAATATAGAGCACCATTTGAAAAATTATAGACCATTGACTTAGGTAAACACTTATCTTAACATCATTTTCTGGGAAAGTACTCCTGTAAAAATCCCTCCCTACATATTATAAGCACCTTCTCCTTTGCTCCAGACATGCAAATCAGAATCTGAAGAAATTCTTTATTTAAACGTGCTCCCCATTCTAATTGTACTGTATTCCTTTTTTTTCCTTTCACTGCTGAATCTATCCAACAGAAAACACATCTCCTATTTACTATTGCTTTCCACTCCTTTCCTCATTGGCTTTTTAAACTCACCTGCTATCCCCATCGCATTTAACTGCTTTCTCAGATAAGCAATAAATATTTTTATTCCAAATCTAATGGTCTTTTCTCAGTCTTATTCTGCTCCCCCCCGCTTTTTTTTTCTAACTCTTCTACATATTTGGTCCTACTAAAGGTCTTTGTAACCTTGACTTCCAAGACACTACTCGCTCATAGTTTTCTACCTCTCCTACCTGCTCATCTGATTTTGGCGTCTACTTCTTTCCCTTTTGCCATCACTACCCAACTATGGACTCTTATCAAAGACTTTTCTTTTTCTTTTTCTTTTTCTTTTTTTTTTAAAGATTTTATTTATTTGCCAGAGAGAGAGAGAGTACACACAAGCGGGCAGAGAGGCAGGCAGAGGCAGCGAGAGAAGCAGGCTCCCTGGCGAGCAAGGAGCCCCATGGGATCATGACCTGAGCTGAAGGCAGCGGCTTAACCAACTGAGCCACCCAGGTGTCCCTCAAAGTCTTTTCTTTAACTCTAACTTTCTCTACACTCTTTTCTTTGGATAATTCATTCTAATGACTTTAGTTATCACCTCTGTGCTTAAAATTCCCAAATCTTTATTTCCAGTCCTATCTTACTATCTAAGAGTTAATAAATATATTTACATTTACATGCTTTTCCATCAGTCTGGGTTCAATCTGATCCAAATCCAAAGTCATCTCTTCTTTTCCTTCTAACACACCTGTCTCAGTGACGTAATTCCCCCCAAAATCAATACATGAAAAGTTAGTATCTTATATGACTCATTACTCTTTTCATTTCTTATAACTATTCACAAAGTCCTGTTGATTTTTTTCGTTTCTTTTTTATTTAAATTCAATTAGCCAACATATAGCACATCTTTAGTTTGTGATGTAACTAATATGACTGTGATGTAACTAATGTAATCATTAGTGTGTGTGTGTGTAACACCCTGTGTTCTTTGATATATCCCTATTTATATCCAATCAACTCTATAAACTGTTTTTGTAGGCATACATATATGGATTCTATTTCTCTCCATCTCAATTTCCACCATTTTAGTCCAGGTTACCATTATTTTCTCACCTGGATTATTATAGTAGCTTCGAAACTAGTTTTGCTGTATATCTACTTCTGGCCCTCTAGAACATTCTTCATTCATCCTTCAATGGAGTGATTTTAAATGCAAACTTATTACTTTCTCTGTCTCTCTCTCTCTCTCTCTCTCTCTCTTTAGACACACACACACACACACCTTAGAACACTTCAGCAGCAATGACTTCCTATTATTCTAAGGACTTACAAGGCACTTCATGATCCTTGTCCCTATCTATCTGTTTTTTCATATTATACCAACCCTATTTCCTTCCTTGCAGTCCAGCCTTACACACCTTCTTTCAGTTCTTAACATGTTCCTTTCTAGGCATTGCACTTGCTGACTGCTTAATCTGGAATGCTCTATCTTTCATTTGATAACCTCCTAATCCTTCAAATCTCAACTCAAGTATCACAGCCACATTAACGCCTCATTAAAAACTCTCAGAGTTCATGTATTCATCCTTCATAGCCTTTAGCATGGTTATAATTCTACGTTATTTGTGTAATTATTGTATAAATATCTATCTCATCCATTATACTGTAGGCTTCCTAAGAACAAGCCCAATCTCTTCTGTCCCCTCTGCTCCAACACACACAAACACCTTCACAGCCACAAGGAATAATCACATGCAATTATAAGGTAAGAAATGCCACCTCATTCTAAGAACAGTCCTAGAACAGTCATAGAAGAGGAAGTGAAACAATTTGAATCTAACACTAATTTATTTACATGAATGGTAATCAGGTCCATGAAAAAAAAACAACAAGTTTAAAGTGTGCCCAGATTTTCAAATATGCATGATGAATATTTTTTTTCCTCATTTGATCCCCTGTGGTAGGATTAATGCTGCTCACCTTCCTGGCCACATTAGGTTTGTATTTTCGTCACTTCCTTGAATTATCACATCAATAAAATATGAGTAGTTATTTGATACCTCTGCTCTACAATAATCCAAATGCTAGTAGGTTTTCTTCTAAGTGTGTACAAACCATATTGGGCAAATGCAAACAAACAAACAAAACTAGACTTTTTTGTTCTTGTAGATCTTAAAGGCACCATTTAATGTTAATTTGACCCATTCATTGTTTTACTGTTCATGTATCTTCGTTTGGGTGCAATCCTGTTTCCCTCAAATATATCTACTTACTTCTAAAATCCTACTAAATGAG